ATTTATGGTTGTGTTTTATTTTTCTTTTTTATTATATGAATCCATTACTCTCTGGATTGGCTTTCACCCATTTGCCTCTGGGATTGCTGCATTCTATGAGCCAAGGATATGTATAGTTTTCTGGGGCCCAGGCCCTTGGCTGGCATTCCAAACTTTGGGTTTTTTCAATAATAAACTGTGCCTGCCTGTGACAGCTGAGCGCCTGTCTCAGGAACACCACCTCCACCTGCCAAGCCGGCCATCAGGAATGGCCATTCCTGAGCTTCTCCAAAATGCCGGGTCCTTCCCACTGTCAGGGAAGAAGAATTTTTCCTCTACCCTCCTAGGGTCTTCTGGCTGGCCTAAAAATTGAATTAACATCAGTTGGATTAAATGGAAAAGCAAACTTTAATTTGGTAAAAAATAGAGATCAAAGAAATATGAGACTCTCTGAAGGAACCAAACTAGGCAGTTTTTATAACCTTTGACAAAGAAACAATAATTTGTAAAGAATTGACCGCATCAAGTTTGAGCTTGGAAGAATAAATTCATAATGAAGAGATCAGGTTTGTCTACATGGCCTTCGTGGCTCTAAATTCACTGTGCCTTGTGCTAAGGATGTCCCCTCTACCTCCTGGTACAGGCAGGGTGTCTTGCTTTTAGGGGAACAAGTGAGGGTCAGAGTGTCCTTCTTCATCCAGCTATTCTAAGCAACCACAATTCAAAATGATCGATATGCTGAAATGACACATTCTCTGGTGGCCTACCTTGAACGTCATTGTCACCAGCACTGCTTGTAAGTTCCATGCACAAACGGCCCTCCTCTCCCTGGAGCACAGTGGGCAGACAGCTTATGCTCGTTCTGGCTTTGCAATACCGTACCCACTCTGGCATATGTGTTCCTGGGGCCTTGTAACCCCACCCTGTACCACCTACCTTGGATTTCCTCATCTTCTCCTCCATGCTGTACACTCAGTGCTTTTCCGAAACCCCCGGGACCCAGCCCAGCAGGAGGTCGGCCGTATCCCCCAGGGCTGTGCCAAGTCCCTCCACCCGTGACTGTCAGCTCTCCTTCTCCAGCGCTGGGGTCTCGCCTCAACAGGCCAGCACTGTCACCCCGCTTCCTCAGGACTGGAACCCTACACACTCTGCCCTCTCCCCACAGGGCGCTGTGCTGTCTGTGACAATCCTGTGGCATCCAGACCTTTGCCCCCCAGCAAACCTGGCACGGCCTTGTGTTGTTGGCCCCAACTGAGGCTCGGGGTGTGGCCTGGTGGGCACAGAGAGGACGCATCTGGAGATGTGTGGCTTCCAGCCAGACAGAGGCCTCCTGGTCACTCCTCACACAAGGGAGGGGCACTGTCCCTTCCCCTGGTGAGGGGAGGGGCTGGGCAGGGTCAGTCCCTGCTGTGCCAGCCCAGCCAGCAGGGGGATTCTCCTGCTGTCACAGACATGGGGGAGGGGTGCCAAGGGTCCTTTTGTTTCATATCCAAATGTTATCAGAATTTTTTATTCAAGATGCTGCAACTTCAACATTAGTCCTAATGGACTTATATGGTGTAAAGTTCAAGGCCAGGTCATGGAAACACTATTCTTAATCATACCTGTAGTAGCAAGAAAGTTAAATCAACCTGCTCTCTGGGTGTGAAGGTGAATGCCCGAAAGGCCCAGAAGAAGCAGAGGGACTGTGAAGGACCTGAGGGACGAGATCAAGAGAGAAACTGCTTGACATCAAATCAGAGGTATTCAAACCAGCGGTAAGTTTGAAAGGTCCACAGCACAAATCGAGCAGACGTTGTAGGGATCCAGAGCTCTGCGTGTGTGTAAAGATTGGATGTGGGTCCCACTGTGAGGCCGAGCGGTGGGGACAGGGCACAGCGGACACAGCAGAACTAGGGCATCAGGGGGAGCAGTGGTATCCCGGTTCTCACTGGCCAACAACCTCTGGGCCTGCAAACTTGGGCACAAATATCACCTTCCGTTTAGCATTCATTTCCCTCCTGCTGTACTCAGGGCTCTTCAGAGAAACACCTCGATAATGACGATAGACAGAGCATACCTGGGTAGACAGCCAGACAGACTTATTGTGAAGTATTTGCTCCTGTGACTGTGGAGGATGTCAAGTGCAAGAGCTGCCATGTAGGTCAGCATGCTGGAGAACCAATGCCAATGCCAATGGTGCCCATGCAGGGTGAAGGCCGCTGCTGGAGACCCCCCTCTTACAGGGGCTTCGGGCGGGAGTCACACTTCCTGTTCCTTTCAGACCTCCAATGGCCTTGACAAGGCCTCTCCACATGCTGGAGGGCAATCTCCTTAACTCAAAGTTCACCAACTCATTACACCTCCCAGACTAAATTAACCACCCCCCCTCCCCTCCCCTGGGTCCTAACACCCTCGTCCTCAGTCAGAATGTCACACCGCTCTAAGCGGGCCTGAGTGGGCTCTGTGGATAAAGCTGAGGGACCCAGGAGGAGTCTCACAGGCATGTGAATTGGGCAATAGGGACATAGACCTCTGTCACAGGGTGAAACCTGCCAGGAACCCCTCCCTGCAGCGGGAGAAGAAATTCCTGGACAGTGCTGAGCTGTGCACATGGAAAGGAGGAGAGAATTTACAAAAGTCCACCTTCCCTGGGCGGGATTCCAGCAAGCCAATAAGGAAAAAATGTACCAGTTTGCTGCAGCCAAAACAGTGGTGGAAGAAATTTCCCAGAACTTGCCTCCTCTCACGGAATTTAAATAACTACATGACAGAATGAATAAATAAGTAAATAAGTAAAACAGTACACACTGCTGATCTATCTGGGTAGAGAGGAGGCAGTGAGTGCCCCAGCTACCTCAGTTGTGCAGAACACAGCTGGAGAAAACTGTTTCTCTCCAGCGCCCCCCAGAGCTCTGAGGCGGTACCTCCATGGCCGAGGGGAGGAGGAGACTGGGAAAGAGGTGGATGAGGCATCCTGCTCCAGGTGACTGCACTGCAGTCCCAGTGGGAAGGACCACATCCGAGGACCTCCCCACCAGTTCCGGGAGCACCCCCAATGCCTCAGTGCTGAAGCCACACACACACACACACACACACACACACCCCGCCTCTGGCCCCTGGGAGAATTTCCGTGTGTGCTGTGGGAGAGCCCCAGCAGACAGGAAGTGCACTCCAAAAACAGGTCCCGATTCCTGAACAAGGGAGAAAGCACAAACTTGAGATATATCACCACTTTCTGGAAGGCAAAATAGAAATTCCCATTAGCCAGCCTGGTGAATTGTGGAAACAGGAAACAATATAAAAGTTTAACAATTCTTCCATGAGAGACAGCAAGAAGAACAGAGCAGGTGTACCCACACAGAGACAGAGAGAGATTGCAATAACCACCATCTAACAGAGCACCCCGTCTGAGGGCAACTAGCAAGACTTCAGGACGTGTGTAATGCTTCATATGCAAATGCAGTGACTCAAAACTGCAAGGGACATGAGGAGTCAAGAATACACGCCATTGCAAAAACAAAAAATATAATTCTCCCTACACCTAGGTCAACGGCATGGATTGGTGACCTAACTAATAAATAATTCAGAACTGCTGCTTGAAGAAACTCAGTGAGCTACTGGAAATTTCAGAAATCTTGAAAAAAAAATGCTCAAAGTGAGAACTCAGAAGGCCAGAGATAAAAACAGATTTCCTCCCATCACGGGTGTAAGGAGAGTGTAGAAGTTTAGTCTTTGGCCTGTGCTCTCGATGACTTCTGAGTCAGTTTCTATGGAATCCTTTCTCTCTTGAGTATGGGCCCCGTTCCTTCCTTTTTAGCTGTCCAGACATTTTTTGTTGGTTGCTTGACCCTTGTGACTCTGTGCGTTGGGAACTGCCTGCGGCCCCTCAGCAGCAGGCCCCACACCAGAGGGAAGCTGCGTGAGCGCCCAAGCCCCAGGGGCCCATGGAGGCCCAGCCTCCTGGAATTCCTCACCACTCACACCTGGATCCAAACTGTCTTCTGCCTTCCTCCTGCTCCCCAGCGCCCTTGGCCACTGCAAATGCAGCCTAGTCTCAGGCTGCTTGGGTGGGGCAGTCCTCCTCAGTCACCTCGCACCAGGGGTTAAGCCAGACCCCTGTGCCTGCAGCTCTGTGGACGGGATCCCCCTCCTTGTGACAGGTCCTCTGCACCCACCATGCTACTGCCCCCCAGCTCCTGGTACACACACTCCCTGTATTGCTGCTGCCACCGCCTCCCACCTGGGCCCTTTCTGGGCAGTGGCTCTTGTCTGACCCAGTCACACTTGCCAGTCACGCTTGGACACTCTTATTTGCTAATCTGCTTTGCACTTCAGGGCCCACTCGTACAATACAGACAGACAGATCCTTGCTATTCTTGTAGGCAGCTAGAGGCTGAAGTCATTTCTTACATCACTACATTGCTCCCCCTTGAATCAAAGGCAGAGTAAATTATTTTCTCATCAGGAGGAATCTTAATTGGGGGCCCACACAGAGCCCTAGGAGCGCGGCTCCAACCCCAAAGCTGCCGACTTTCCTCAAGTGCTCCACTTCAACTACTGATATCTGCCTGCTTCCGCCTGGACAGAACACTGCAGGGAGGATGACAACAGTGGAAGAAAGTAATGATCGCTTAGTGTTAGTGCAGAAAAATGTGTTTGTTGTATTTATAATTTAACTCATCATTGAGTATGATCCTGACAAGAGAAAATAACAGATTTGTTAAGACATCAATGAAGACTGACCCCTCTACTTAAAAAAATTTAAAGCTTTTTTTGTTGGCATGTAATATCGCAACAGGAAAGAGTACAAATCTTAAATGGTCAGTGTGATGTATTTTCAAAAGGAAATCCGCCTGCACGATCGCCTGTTGTTTCAAGTCACGGGTCACACCCACTGTGTCCCCGACTCTGACTTCTATTACCCCAGGTCAGTTTTGTCTGTGTTCGAAACTGATACACTGGAACCCACTTAGCGTGCACGTTCTCTTGTGTATGACACTTTCCTCAACATCTTATCTCCGAGAGTCATCCACATTTTCTTTGGCAGTTTAGTATTTATTGAGTTCTAAATAGTGTTCCATTTGTAAACACTCTACACAGGGGTAGTGTAATAGCTTTTCTATTAGCCCAGACACCACAGGGCATGTAATATGCTACTAAGTAAATTACTTCCAGGTCACTTCCATGGAGTAGATGACAGGAATGTTGCATCTGCTGTAGCACCACGGTCTCCTGGAGGCTGTAAGGGCTGCAGCTCCTGGAGGTCAACAGGCCCTGGAGGCTCCAGCAGCTGGAGATGACAGCAAGGTGGCCGACTAGAAGGGACACGTGTGGGACTAGACCACACTCTCAGGAGCTCCTGAGCAGCATCTTCTGTCACCAGAAAACAAACACACGACAGTCAGACCCTAGGGCCTAAGGACAGCTGGGGCGAGGACTCAAGGGGCCAGGAACTGCCCTGCTCCCTCCACTGAAGCCCTGATCCTACAACACCGATGAGGAGCCCTGTGCAGAGACAGGGGCCTGCATCCTGATCCTCTAGCACTGCGGATGGATGCAGACAAACATCTTCCTTTCCTCTCTCCTGCTCTCCTTGCCCTGGTCCCAGCACACCACTCTGAGTCCCACTGTCCCTGCCCTGCCCCCTGCACTCCTGCTGTAGTCAGCTGTCTGCATCCCCCTCCACCAGCAGCTCAGCCCCACCCCCCTCCCCAGTCAGCTCTGCTCAGGGCAGGGCCCCTCAGGGGCTCAGGATCTGGGGTCTGAAGGAGGCTGGCTGCCAGCTGATTGCACCGGGGATGACCCTGGAGTCCTAGGGGTCCACAGAACACTGGCCCCCTAACCTGGTCCTGCACACTCCCTACTGTTCACCTGCTGTCTCACGTGCCACCCCAAAGTCCCTTTCTGTGGGAACAGAGTCCAGAACTCCAGCCTTCTGAGTTGTGTCTGCAAGTCCCCCCACCTTCTTCCTGGGATTAGACCAAGGCCCACTCCTATAGCCCCCTGCACAGTCCCCGTCCCCTGGACACATCCCATGCAGCCACCACACTGCTCTCACCTGAGTATGAGCACACCGCTGCCCTGTGCACCTGCTGTCCCCACCCTGGGCCCAAACACTCTCTCCCAACAGAGACTCTGAGTCAGGACCGAATCACTGAACCCCTGCAGCACCAGCGGGCCTTAGGCCTTGGTGTGGGCCCCTGTCTGTCCCTCTGGCACCAACGTGAGGAGACAGCAGATCTGGGGGCTGAGCTTGTCCACGTGACTGCTGGCAAGTGGTACTAGGTCTTATTGTCCTGGTCCCCTTTCCAGGAGGGGAAGGTTCAGGGAGGGGCAGGGGTCATGGTGTGAATTCACCCTCCCTGTCCTCACTGTGGGCCATCTGCTCCTCACGTCCCACTGGGTTCTGCCCTCTGTACCTGTTACTGTAATAGAACTCAGCCAAAGTATGATCAGGCCGGCGAGGATCACAGGGATGATTGAGGTGACAGGCCTGTTGGTGGTGGCCTTGGATGGAGCAGCTCCTGGGGCCGTGCTTGGTGTAGTTGAAACTGTGGGTGGTGAGGTTGAGGCTGCAGCTGTGTTTGGTGCGGCTGCAAGGAAAAGAGCAGAGTGTCAGCCTTGTCCAGACCCCGTTTATGAGGAGACGCCCCCTCAGCCCTGCTGCCCCAGGTCACCCTACGATGCAGACAGGTTCCACCCCTCTACGTGTGGCAGCCACTGTGGCAGGTCCCGGGGTTGGAACAAAGAGAGGACATGGGCCCCGTCCCCTTGGGCTCCTGCAGCTAATGGGGGAAGCAGGGTCACAGCATACCCCGTCCCTCCTGCTGTGACAGAAGAGGGGGTGACACATGAGGAAGGCGGTAGAGCAGTCCCCACAGAAGCTGACATCTGAGGCGGATGAAGGACTTGCAGAAACAGACCAGGGGAGACGGAGAGAGAAGTGATGCGAGAGGAGGGCACAGCGCCGGGGACAGGACGAAGAGAGAACGAGGCCCGCCCGGCCGGGTCCGCGGGAAACCCACAGGGAGTGTCCGCGGCTCTGTGCGGTGGGGGCGGGGGGGGAGCGAGCAGGAGAGAGGGGACAGGGGAGTCGTGGGACACGCCTGTGGCTGTTATCCTCCAGAGAATTTACCACAGATGATTCTCTGTTTCAAACACACACTCACACAAGCACACAAACACAAACATTCGCACACATCCACGCACACAGAAGCAATCACAGAGTCTCACATTCACACACTCACAGTCACATACTCACATGCATATAAACTCACACACACTCACACACTCACACCAGGGTAGGTTGACCTTATCTGAAGGGAACCACCACTTCATCCCGCTCTTCTCTGTTACCTGCGGTCTCCAGCTCCTTCTTCCTGTCCACCAAGACTTTCGCCAATCTTTTCCCATCTCCCACTGAGGTCTTCTTGAGGAACTCCTTCATGTCCTCATCCTTCTCCCACGTCTTTTTCATCTCTTCGCCCCTGGAATTACTCGCTGTATACTCTCCACTCTTCTTCAGGTCAAAGTCCAGGGACCTCCGTCCACCCAAACGACACTCCCAGGGTCCACAGACGGTTCCACTGGCAGCACTCTGACACTGCAGCCTGACCTGCAGGATGCTGGAAGCTGCCCCACCGCCCCCACGGAAAGACGTCAGCCTCCACTCTTGACAAACCCTTCGCCCCCACCTGGTGTCCACCTCACGTGAGCCCTTCTAGTCCAGCCCCGTTCTCCCTGACCTTCCCGCTGGGCTGCATGGGAAGCACTGACACACACTCTCCCTTCCCACGTGGGGACAATAAATGTAGCTAACCCCACAGCCTGCTCCCTTCTGCATCGGGACTTTTCTAACTTACCTCTGAGTGTTTCTCTGGTTAGTTTACTTCTGATCTGGTCCCACACACTTTTCAGCATATCTTTCATATCTTTAGAGTCATTTGTGGTCATTACCCCCTGTTTCTCAGATATGACCTTTTCATTGTAACAGTCATATTGAAGAATTAGTGTGCTATCCATGAACACGTTGGCCACACACTGTAGTTGTTCATTAAAGGTAATGTTGAGAACATACTGGACAGAATGAGCATCTGTGAAGAAAAAACTCGGGTGAGGATTGGAGTTGGAAGAAAACAACCCAAAACACCCCTCACCCAACTCTGTGACAGCAAGGCAATCCCCCTGCTGGCTGGGCTGGCAGAGCAAGGACCCACCCTGCCTGGCCTCTCCCTTCACCAGGTGAAGGCGGGGGCCCTCCCTTTGCTTGAGGAGGAGCAGGAGGCCTCTGCCTGGCAGGAAGCCACACTTCTCTGGATGTGCCCTCTCTGTGCACCAGGCTATGCCATCGTCCTTCAGCCCATAACCAATCCTTTCCTCCGCTGTGCCAGGTGGCTGCGGAGGAAAGGTCTAGATGCCAGAGGATTGTCAGGAAATAGCTCAGTGTCCTATGGGAGGACATGGACAGCATGTAAGGGTCTGCCTCTCACAAAACTGGGTGACAGTGGGTTGAGGATGTGGATAGATCCCCCCATGCCGGAGAAGGGACAGGTCATGATCAGGGGTTGTGATCTGGCACAGCCCTCAGCAATGGTGCGAACCTGCTGCTGGGATGGGTCCTGCAAGGTTGGCAGAAGGCATGGCTACCGTGCCTGGAGCAGAATGGCCAGAACTTTCGAGCAGGTAGTGGAGGAAGGGTCAGCTGGCTCAGAGAACTGAATATGGCAGGGGGAGGTGTAATGTGAAAAGGCAGAAAAGAGTCTAAACAACTTTGCTCCATGGGAAAGCCTGAAGCTAACTCTCGTTTATTGAGCCTAGGAGGAGAGCATGGATGAGAAGACGCCAGAATTCTCAACAAGCTGGAAGATGACTTTTGCTGAAGGTGAGGATGGTGGTAGGAGTCCGTGTCCCCCAAAATGTCTGCCAGCAGTGGTGGACGTGGTGAATGTCCAGATAACAAATCACAGGTACAGGTGCTCTGGGTCAGGAGCAGAAGAGGTAAGATGTTCAAAACGATTGGGAAGGTCGGAAATCCAGACATGACTCAGCCACAGAGCAGTGGCTAAGGCTCAGAGCACAGGGGGATCTGAGATGCAAAATGGGTGGACACCAGCCTGGATACTTACAGATGGGTTTGAATAATTACAACAAACAGAGACAAGACATAAGGATGGATGATGAGGAGGCTGAAATGGCCTCCCAACCAAAGAACGAATCCTTCTGCCAGTTCCCAGAGCTGAGCCACTTCTCAGACCCTGAACTCATTACTAGACAGAGAGGCTGCACTGCAATGAGAGGGGCCCTCCCAACACCGCAGGGAGTGCGAGTGCGAACTCCTTCTCCGAACTCGCACTGGTCGGCCGGCTGCACCGGGGTGGGTGTGCACTGGGAGGAGGGGCTTCTCACACATTCCCATTTGCTCTGGTCGTGGGTCCGCATAAGTTACCGGGTCTACAGTGAGGCCGGGGGTGGGGAAATAAACAGACACCTGCCCCGGGTCCTGCCCACGGAGGGGTTGCTGGTCCACAGACCCACACAGTGATCATTTCACATTCCCAGGTTTGCAGCAGGAATGAGAAGTCTTTGTAGTTTGGGAACTCTTTGTGGACCGAAGGCTGCCATAGCAGGGAAACTTAAATACAGTATCCTCAAACTGTCTTCCCCTTTCTCTAAGTAGAGTGCTAAAACAAATTTTTTTCCTGGACACAATGAAAGAGATGAGCACCAACCTTAAACCTTAAAGAATAAAACGGGATGTGCTGGGGCGGGAGCACTGCTCCCCAGGGAAAGTGGTGGAAGTGACCCGGGGCTGCAGACTGCTCCGGCTGCGGAGTTCAAGACTCAGAATGGAGACCCCTCAGGGGGAAGTGGCTGGTGAAGGGGCAGCCTGGCGGGTGCTGCAGGCCTGTGGACCTGCCCCCAGAGCCCCCGGGGACGTTGAAGTTGGGGAGCGCAGTGCGGGTGCAGGGGGTTTCCCTGCGGAAGTCGTGTGAGCACAGTATCTCGGCAGGCCGGTGTCTATGGGTCACGACACACAGGAAACGCCACAGTCATGGGACAGGGGCGCCCATGTCCCCAGGAGAACGACGTGAACCGGTCAGGAGGGCGTCTGGGGATGATCCGCGTTTGCTTTAGTGGCTCCTCTTTCCCAGCTTCCTTCTGCCCGGGCGGACGCACCCCACCTCTCGGCCCCCAGCCACCCCCTTCCCCCCCCTCTTCCTGCCTGAAGGCCGTGTGGGCACCGCGACCCGAGAGGAGCTGGTGCACAGGACTGAGCAGGGACCCGCCTGGAGGTTCTGGAACAGCCCCGGGCACTTCGTCCCCGTCCACGAACTTAATGCCCCGCCACCCCAACCCCATTATTCCCTCCCTTCCCCACCCCCCGCCCCCACACTTACTTTTACACCCCGCACTTACCGCCCCGAGCCCCGAGACACCCCGCTGCCCGGGCGCGGTCCGCCAGCACAGTCAGCACCAGGACAACCTGGCCGAGCTCGCAGCGAGCGGGCTCCATGGGCGCAGCCGTCGCGGCTCTTCGTCGAAGAGTGCCTTGGCCGCTGCCTTTCCCCTGCCACCCCGCCACACCCCCGCTTTTCCGGGCTGGGCGTGGCTTTCGGGCTGCGGCGCGAGGAGCAGGGGGGTGACCCGGGGGAAGGAGTATCACCCGGGGAGGGAGCGGGAGAGACGGGGAAGGACAGTGGGAGCCTGCGCCCGCTCTGGCCCCCAAGCCCGGCCCGCCTCACCCCCGCGGCAGCCCCGCCCACGTGCGGCCAGCGCGGGTGCAGGTGCTGCGCACCGCTGCAGCCGGGGGAGACCGGCCCAAGGAGCCCGGGCCCACGCGCCCCTGCACCAGCCTCTGTCCCTCCTTTGCTCCCCCTCCCCCTCCCTCCCTCTCCCTCACCCCTCACCCCTCCCTCCCTCCCTCCCTCTCCCTCACCCCTCCCTCCCCTCCCCCCTCCCCCCTCCCTCCCTCTCCCTCACCCCCTCCCTCTCTCCCTCTCCCTCACCCCCTCACCCCTCCCTCCCTCCCTCTCCCTCACCCCCCTCCCCCCTCCCTCTCCCTCCCTCTCCCTCACCCCTCACCCCTCCCTCCCTCCCTCCCCCTCACCCCACACCCTCCCTCACCCTCCCTCCCTCTCCCACCCCCCCTCCCCCCTCCCTCCCCCTCCCCTCCCTCCCTCCCTCCCCCTCCCCCTCCCTCCCTCCCTCCCCCCTCACCCTCCCTCCCTCCCTCCCCCTCACCCTCCCTCCCTCCCTCCCCCCCCTCCCCTCCCTCCCTCTCCCTCACCCCTCCCTCTCTCCCTCTCCCTCACCCCCTTCCTCCCTCCCTCCCTCACCCCTCACCCCTCCCTCCCTCCCTCACCCCTCACCCTCCCTCCCTCCCTCTCCCTCACCCCTCCCTCCCTCCCTCTCCCTCACCCCTCACCCTCCCTCTCCCTCACCCCTCCCTAACCCTAACTCTGTGTATGTGCTGGCGTGTGCTGAGATATGCTTGGTTACATTTACATAGGCAAGCAGGGAATGCACTGTATGTTGTTGCAGAGTTCACAGTCAAGTTGGTAGAAAACTAGGTAGAAACTACGTGGAAAGTCGTTAGATAGCCTGGGTTTTTTCAGGGAGAAGCATGCCAGAGATTAATACTACAAACTGCACCACTCGACCAGTGATGACATCCATGTAATGCCAGGCAACTAGCTTCATCCCCACCCTCCGCCCCTTCCCGCCCCACACCATGGGGGGGTCGTGTGCTGCATTGCTTCCTGTACCATTTCTTTTTCAAAAGCATAAGATTTATGCTTTTGTTATGTTTAAAATAACAAAAAGCAAATCTAAACATGCAACAATAAAGAGCAAGTTTCATTAAAGCCACTGAACACATGCAGAGCTGCATTCAGTAACACAGAAAATGCCAGGGGACTGCTTCTTACCAGACATAAAGGTCTGGCCGCTACATTGCACATGTCAAATGAATACAGGGTGTGTCACTGTAATTGAAAAATAAAAATTTTTAACAAAGTAATTTTTTCTTGTGGTCAAAAGTACAAACTTCTAATTATAAAATCAGTGTCATGGAGATGTAGTGTACAGGGTGTCTATAGTTAACAATACTGACAAATATAAAAACACATACCTAAGAACTGATGTAATGTTAGGTGTCCATTACATGTCACAGAAAAAGATTTTCAGGAAGGAAACATTGGGGGAGGTGGAAATGACAGATTATACGAGTTCTGCCGAGGGTCGGATTGTGTCCCCAAAGCTGTGCTGACGCTCTCACTCCCGGTGCTTGTGACGTGGCCTCCTTTAGAAACCAGGGCTTTGCAGATGCCATGGAGTTAAAGTGAGGCCACTGGGGGGACGACAATTTAGTGTGACTGGTGTCCACTAGAGGAGGCACAGCTGCAGACAGGGAGAAGGCCACGTGAAGACCGGGCACGTGGGGGCAGAAGGTTCTGGGACCCACAGGGGCAGGCGTTGGCCTGAGCAGCTGTGAGGCGAGGACGGCCAGGGGCAGCAGATGGAGGGAGCGGCCTGGCTCTGCCCACACCTCGGCCTCACGGGCCGGCCTTCAGACCTGCACGAGAAGACAACTCCATTTTTCCTTTTCCTATTTTTACTGAGATACCATCGACATATACCATTATGCTAGTTTCGAATGCCCAACACGACGATCCGGTATTTGTATGTAGTGAGGAGGGATTGCCACAGCGAGTCCAGCAGTCATCGGCCGGCCCCGAGCGTGGGCACTATTTTGTCTGTTGCTTTGTTGTTGTGATGAGAACTGTCGGATCTACTCTCCCGACCACCCTCGGTGTGCAGTGCGGTGTTGTCCGCTGCAGTCACCATACTTCCCACGACTGACTTGTTCGTTCTGTATCTGGAAGTGTGTGCCTTCTGAGCGCAAAAAGTCATGACTCTAAAGGAGGGAATGGAAGTGGGAAAAGACGAGGTGATAAGACAATGGGGTGAAGGAGGCCTGGGGGGTGTAAGGAGGAGGGGGTTGAATATTAACAAGACTTGCAGCCCCAAGAGTGGAAAGGGGCCTCAGCAGAGAGAGAAAAAGTGTGCTGTGATGCTATTGAGGTCGTTGTTTTTTTAATTGCTGAATACCGTTTCCTCCCACACCACCTCTGTGCCCCACTCCACTCCCCCAAAAAAGGAAGTGAAAAACCCTGGCGGAGTAGCTGAGCTGGTCAGAGCCCATCCACCAAGCTGGGGGTTGGATCCCACATCCGGGCACACACAACAATGAAGCAATGAATGCAAAATTACGTGGAACAACAAATCAATCTCACTCTTTCTCTCTGCCCCTTTCCTGTAAAAGAAGGTAAAAGCAAAGAAAAAGAAAAAGAAGAATTATGGCCCTTACTGGATAAGTGAGCTGAGAAACAAAGCCACTTTATGCTTCGGGCAACCTTTTGAAGAGTTGCTGTTATTAGATTCTTACTCTTCTTCTTTTCCACTGGGGGCCTAGTTTGCAGGACCTCTTTTGGCAACACGGGAGGAGTTGCTATCTGGGCTTCCAGTGGGGAGGGTGCAGACACCAGGAGTGGAACCCCTCTTCCTGCTCCTGCTTGGGACCGGGCTACGCCCCGCTGGGAGTTCGGGGATGGAACCTGAGGAGAGGGGCCCGCATTAAGGTGACAAGAGGAGCGGTGGGGACCGGGTGCAGGGGACTGGCGGGAACCGGAGGGCTGCCCACGGTGGGGTCACGGAACCTTCCTGCCGGGTGGGGGCGCAGACCATGCGGGCCCCTGGGCCACCATCTCCGCGGGCGCTTTTCTGCCTCCGTGGCGTCCGCACACCTGGTTGCCCCTTTCCAGGCTAGAGGGGCTGAAATTAGCCGGCGACGCCATCAAAAAAGTCTTTCTGGCCCTAGCTGCCATAGCTCAGTGGATTGAGCTCGGGCTGGGAACCAAACTATCACAGGTTCGATTCCCAGTCAGGGCACCTGCCTGGGTTGCAGGCCATGGTCCCCAGCAACCGCACATTGATGACTCTCTCTCTCTCTCTCTCTCTCTCTCTCTCTCTCCCCCTCCCTCCCCCCTTCCCTCTCTAAAAAAAATAATGAATAAATAAAATCTTTTTAAAAAAAAGTCTTTCTGGGCGAATGGGCAAGGAGGCGGGAAGGGCAGAGGGAGAGAGGAGGACGAAGCGGGAATTTCTGAAGAAGCCCCCTCGATACCCCCGCCCCGCGCCTCGAGAAGCGCTCCCTAACCGCCCCACCCCCCACAGCAACGCCGCTACACTAAAGGCTTCTGGGTAGGTGGGCTCCCGAGCCCCTGGCATCCAGACGTGAAGAGGTCAGAGGGCGCTCGAGGTGTGGACTAAACCGCAGCTGCAAGCCCCGACTCTGCGCACCACTCCCCCTCCCGCTGTGAAGACCGCCCATCCCCACCCCACCCCCACCCTCGCTGCCCTACACCTTGAACTCAGCGCCATCTGCCGGCCCATTCTGGAAACCTGGACTCCCACCAGACACTCCTTTCCCCTCTAATGAGCCCACGCCATAGTTTTACACACTTCTTTGGCGTCCTAAAAACACCAGCGCCTTCAACACCTTCCCTTTTGAAGTGACCCTAATTCTTCCACCAGTGGCACCTTGTCTCTCTTGCCTGAGGACACGCCCCCGGCCCCTCTACACCCCAAAAGCCTCTGCAGCTGACCCACAAAACCTCTGATGATTAATGACATTGACCATCTTTTCATATGTCTGGTGGCCATCCCTGTGTCCTCTTTGGAGAAGTGTCTGTTCAGGTCCTGTGCCCACATTTTAAATTGAGTTGTTTGATTTCTGTTGTTAACTTGTATGAGCTCGTTTTCAGTTTTGGGTCATAACCCCTTCTCAGCTGTATCATTGGTGAATATGTTCTCCTGTTCACTAGGCTGTCTTTTCATTTTGATGAGTTTCCTTTGCTGTGAAAAAAAAACTTATTATTTTTTTAAGATTTTATTTTTATTTATTTTTTAGAGAGGGAAGGGAGGGAGAAAGAGAGAGAGAGAGAAACATCAATGTGTGGTTGCTGGGGGGTCATGGCCTGCAACCCAGGCATGTGCCCTGGCTGGGAATCGAACCTGCGACACTTCGGTTCCCAGCCCGTGCTCAATCCATGGACCTACACCAGCCAGGGTTGAAAAAAACTTATTTTGACGCAGTCCCATTTGTTTATTTTTTCTTTTGTTTCTCCTGACAAAGCGACATATCAGAAAAAATATACAGCTAAAGGAAATTCTCAAGATTGTACTATGTTTTTTTTTCTTTTTTCTACTCTGGGAGTTTTATGATTTTGAGTTTCACGTTAAGGTCCTTTTTTTCTTGCTCTTTTGTTTTTTTAATTATGTTTTATTGATTATACTATTACAGTTGTCCCAATTTTTTATCCCGTTGCCCCCCTCCAGTTAGCACCCCCCCCCAAACACACATACTCCCTAGGCCATCCTGACCCCATTGTTCATGTCCGTGGGTTACTTTGCTGCTCCATTTCCTACACTGTACTTTACATCCCCCACAGCTACCATGTAACTACCTCTTTGTACTTGCTAATTCCTTCACCT